TTTACATGCGAAATCTCCTCGTTCATTTCCTTTTCCGGTAACCTTTCTCCACGGAATGCATTTTCTATTAAACAGCCCAAAGATTGTTTGTTTTGTGTGTTTTGTACTTTTTACTTCGTGAAAAATGACCCATCCATTCGTAGACCAACGGCATGTACCCAAATATCTGGTTACCTTAGTCCGTCGCATTTCGTCGTTCCTCATCATTACATGATACAGATTGGCCACTTAACTTAAATGGATTGTATGATGTGATTCTTGACGGCTCTGATATTTTCAAGTCCGTCCTTGGGTTGTGGCATGAAACAGCACATGGTTAAATCAAGTTCGATATACGAACATACTTTGTATTATGATGTACACAGTATCTTTTAATGGACCAAATAAGCACGGCATTCATTATACTTTTTCGGAATTTCTCTGTGTGCAATTTCACCCGCTTGCTCAAGCTCGGCACGCGTGTTCTCGTTCACTTGCCAGTTGAGCGGAAGCTGGTTATTCGAGCCAATCTCAATCGCCCGGTGTTTGAAGCGGTTGCACAGGTGAGTGCGGTGNCCCCCTTCTCCTTTTCACTCCCATTTTTCCTCGACTATTAATTATTTGGGACATTTAAAATGCTAGACTTGTATACTTAATCAGCTCAAGGAAAGAGTTAGTGAGTGAACCCTATCATCATGTTAACCAACCACTATTTGATTGTTAAGTTCCGGAATCAACAGGAAAAAACCGTGCCGTATTTTTTCTAATTACGACAGCTTGCTTGTGAACCACTTTAATCTTACCGAGCTGACTGTCATAGTTTGAAGCATATAATACACAAACCATCTAGAATTCTTACCTATGGCACATGCTTGATTTTGCTAAAGAAATAATGCGTTCCAACGCACAGTTGCGAGAGTTCGTTTGTGTAATTTCCACTGCTTGTCACTTCTCTTTACTGGAGATTTGTACAATCAAGTTTGAGGAATGGGAAAGCGGTCAATCAAACGGAAAAACTGTAAATTCAAGCGACGGTGCTAGTGTTCGAACACTTTACCTCCTTCCCTTTCCCAACCATTAGTAGCCGACGAGTGAAGCTAGTTATTCTGTGTACGTATAAATCCATGTATCTGCTTGCGTCGTGTATNGCTTGCGTCGTGTATAATTTAACAATAAATTCATGAGTACTATATCGCCCACGTTGGCAACTTCAACTCTGTTGGACTCTCCCCGGTCCATTGGGGTTTGAGGGTAGAGCTCTGCTGTCGCCCAGCTCAATCTCACTCACTCCGGTTGTACATGCGTATTCCAGGGCTTACCACTCCGGATTAAGCAGTTTAGACACATCGTCTGCGTTACCGTATTTAGCTTTGATCCGTCCTACCAAGTCCAGCGCACTCAATTATGTGATAAAATGCCATGGATCACCTGACGGGCAGGAAACATGATTTAATGAGAAACGAATAAGCCAGGTCAAAGGTCATCACAGTGATAGTGTTGGCCACATTCGTTCGCCATCGCATGTCGTGCAATTCAAATTGGGTATAAGGTCGAGAGGGCGAATGTATTAACATTTACGCCTACTT